TATAGTATTAAAAAACGAGCTATTAGGCCTAAAAACGGTTGCAACACCCTTAAGTAAAACAGCAATCATGAAAAGCTCTATTACTGAAGCCCAGAAAGGTTTAACTTTTAAATATCAGAAAAAAAATATTTGGATAAATTACTTCTATCAATTAATTAATTTTTTTTGTAAGGTTTTTGGTTGAAATGAAAAAGCTAGTGCCACGAGCGGGATTCGAACCCATGACCTTCGGCTCAATTCGTCGCTGCTCTAACCACTTGAGCTATCGTGACTTCGATCCACTCGGACACCAGCCACACATCTCAACCTACAACCGTTCGAATTTTCCCTCTTTTTTGCCATTTTTCAAATGTCGTGTAATCAGGATTTGATTCTTGGCGACATTTGAAGTGGCCATGGGGAGCTGCTAGTGAAGTTATACTTCGCTTTAATTATTAAATCCATTATATTTAGTGGTCTATTGACCAAATTACTTCTTTCAATTAATTAATCTTTTTGTATGTAAGGTTTTTGGTTGAAATGAAAAAGCTAGTGGCACGAGCGGGATTTGAACCCATCCAGCCGATAATCGAATGCTGATTCCACGACATTTGAAAAATGGCAAAAAAGGAGGGAAAATTCGAAAGATTTTAGTTTGAGATGTAGAGTTGGTGTCCTAGTGGATGGAAGTCAAGATAACTCAACTGGTAGAGCAGCGGCGTATTTAGCCGAAGGTCGTGGGTTCGAATCCCGCTCGTGCCACTTTTAAATTTCAGAAAAAAAAATACTTGGACAAATTACTTCTTTCAATTAATTAATTTTTTTTGTAAGGTTTTTAGTTGAAATGAAAAAGCTAGTGCCACGAGCGGGATTCGAACCCACGACCTTCGGCTCAATTCGTTGCTGCTCTAACCACTTTTCATTTCAACCAAAAACCTTACATAAAAAAATTAATTTATTATTATTATTATATTTTACTTGGACTGAAGGAATTATGGATTGGGTGTGTTTTAAAGGTTATTTTGTTTTCATTATATCTTTTAATAGGCTCTATGGGCTGTCCCTGAATTATTTATACCTAAAACGGATGCATGCTGATTATAATCTGCAAGAAAAATTAATAACATATTCAACAAATTGAAAGTATCTTTAACAAATTCATGATGTTGATTTACAGCGATTGTTGATCTATATACATAAATAAAAAATAATCGAACTGGCAAAATATTTTTATCATAAGAGGAGAACACGAGTAAGGAAAACACAACGGTGACAATTTAATATCTCTTCTCTTCGGCTTGTAGTTATTTCTAGTCACTATATTTTATCGACTGATCGCGTTTATTAATCATGGGCCGAGTTGCCAGTTTTCCCCCTGCCGAGTGGGTGTTGACAAATTCACAGGCCCTTCCGTTATGTCGGCGGTTGATGTAAGGCGTGTCAATTGATTTTTGTCGCTCGGAGCAGTATTGGAAAGCGGCCCGGACTTGTCGAAGTCGTAAAATTAGAGGCTAATTTATTAAAATAAGCCTGGAACGTTTAAACGGGTTTGCTCGGCCGAGGCGAACTGACGTCCGGTTGCAAAGGTTGAAATTTCTCGAAAAGGGCGTCGTTGGTTGTTGTTCTTTTCAACGCACAAAACGCAAATTGTTTGTGTCCAATGGTGTAAAAAGTCCGTGAAACATTCGTCAAAGGCGCTGACAGCATTGACAAATGAGCGAGTCGTGGGCTGACAAGTGGATAACTGCTAAATAAATTCAGCGGATCAGTCACTGCCTTCATTCTTCGGCCTCACTTCTGTAAACTGGCCAATTCTTTCGTGTTGCTTTCTTAAAAAGGCTAGTACTCATTATGTAATAATTTAATTGATAGTATCGTCCACAGTAATTAACTGGAGTAAGGCCTGTTTATTTAATATAATACATTATGAATATATAAAAAAATAGATAAAACACAGATCTGAAGATGGTATTACCTTCAAATAATGATAAAAATGATTTTAAGGCGATTCTACAAACTTAAACTTATATGTAGATAATTACAAAGCCTATAGGTTCTTTTTAAAAATTTAATGTACTACAATTAATTAAGGTTTTTAGTTGAGATAAAAAAGTCAATGGCACGATCGGGATTCGAACCCACGATCTTCGGCTTGATACGCCGCTGCTGTACCACTTGAGCTATCGTGTCCTTGATCCACTCGGACACCAATTTCCCATCTCAACCCCACCTTTTGAATTTTACCTCCTTTTTGCCACTTTTCAATTGGTCAAGCGGACCACGACATTAGTGAATTTAAAAATTTAAATTTTTATAATTTTAAAAGTTTTTATATTTTGACTTTATTGTCGATGTACAGGTTTGACAAGTATATAATTGATAAATAAATTCAGCGGATCAGTCACTGCCTTCATTCCTCGACCTAACATCTGTAAACTGGCCAATTCTTTTGTACTGCTTTCTTAAAAAAGTAGAAAAGAGGGAAAATTCGAACGGTTGTAGGTTGAGACGGAGTGTTGGTGTCCGAGAGGATCGAAGTGACGATGTCAAGAGGTAGAGTAGCAGCATATTTGGTCGTGGGTTCGAATCCCGCTCGTGACACTGACATTTTTATCTGAACCAAGACCTTACATAGAAAGAATAATTAACTGATTGAAAGAAGTAACTTGGTCAATTGACCACTAAATCGTAAATGGATTAATATTTAAAAAGTAAAAGGAGTATCACTTCACTAAACAGCTCCCCATGTCCACATCATAAGTCCCTGTGAATCGAATCCTGATTACATATTTGAAAAATTGCAAAAAGAGGGAAAAATTTGAACAGTTGTAGGTTGAGATGGAGAGTTGGTAACCGAGAGGATTGAAGTCACGAAAGCTCAAGTGGTAGAGTAGCGTATTTAGCCGAAGGTCGTGGGTTCGAATCCCGCTCGTGACACTGACTTTTTTATCTGAACCAACTCCTTACATAGATATAATAATTAATTGAAAGAAGTAACTTGGTCAATTGACCACAAAAACGTAAATGGATTTCTTAAAAAATTTTGTAAAATTTTAATTGATACTATTGTATACAGCAATTACAAGTTGCCGGTGTATGTAATATAATACATTAAGAATATATCAAAGCATAGTTAAAACACATGGACTATCTGAAGAGGTTTTGCCTTCAAATAGTGATACAAATGCATTTTAAGCGATTCTACTCACTTAAACTTACCTGTAGATATGTTCTTTTTAAAAACGTAAATTTATAAAATTTTACAAGTTTTAATTTTTTGACTTTCTTGTGGATGTACACGGTTTACAGCTTTATAACTGCTAAATATATTCAGTGGATCAGTCACTGCCTTCATTCTTCGACCTCACTTTTAGAAACTGGCTAATTCTTTCGTACTGCTTTATTAAAAAATTCACTAATTTCGTGGTCCGCTTGACCAATTAATATATTACAATTAATTAAGGTTTTTTGGTTGAGATAAAAAAGTCAATGGCACGAGCGGGATTCGAACTCACGATCTTCGGCTAGATACACCGCTGCTCTACCACTTGAGCTATCTTGATCCACTCGGACACCAACTTCCCATCTCAACATACAACCTTTCGAATTTTCTTCCTTTTTGCCATTTTTCAAATATCGTGTAATCAGGATTCGATTCTCGGCGACTAATGAAGTAGCTAAAGCCAGAAACACACTTATCCGATGCNCGATAGCTCAAGTGGTAGAGCAGCGTCGTATCTAGCCGAAGATCGTGGGTTCGAATCCCGCTCGTGCCATTGACTTTTTTATCTCAACTAAAAACCTTAATTAATTGTAATTTATTAAAATGTTAATACTATTTTTGTAATATTTGAATTGATACTATCTTCCATAGTAATTACAAGATATATTATACATTATGAATATATCAGAGTTATAACGCATGGACTCTTTGAAGACGTTTGGCCTTCAAATAGTGATAAAAATGTATTTAAGTCGATTTTACACGCTTTAGACTTATCTTTAGACACATACAAATCCTATAGGTTCTTTTTAAAAACTTAAATTTTTACAATTTTAAAAATTTTACTTTTTGGACTTTATTGTCGATGTTGTGTACTAGTTGTGAGACAAATATTTATAAAATTTTTATAATAGATAAGCCTGCTTTACAAGACACGTTTGTTAGGCACAGTCCAGTGGCTGTTTTATACCAATTCTTAGAATCTTCCATCCAAAAGTAAGACGATGCAACATGTAAAAGTTCGGGGTGATTTTGGTATACTGCGCCCATTGAGAGCTATTGAATCGCAGGTTATGTACCTATAGAAGACTGTGAGTCCCAATTCATTAAACATTTTAATTATAAGGTCCGGTTATGTTGTACATGTTTTAGATGTGTTGTTGTTTCTACTTAGCAGAATCTGCACGTACCGTGTAAGTTTATTCCAATCTTCCTCAAATGCCCATTCAGTTTATAGTGCCTCGTTAGGGATCCCGTTAGGAGATTTTTTCTGTTTCTTTTGGTGCCTGCTTGTTTTTCTTTGTTGTCTTTCTTTCGTAACTCGCCAGGTTTTTTACGTGTGGATTGTTTGTGTCCACTTCCAAAGTCTCCCTATGTCTTCTTGCCTTCGTTCTTCGAGGGGCATCCGCTTCTTCGTTCCCTACTCCTGCTGTCCTGTTTTTACAGATTTTTTCCATTTTTATAACACAGGTGCAATTGAAAACAATATTTAACAAATTGAATGTGAACTGTACCAGGCCTTGCCCTTTCAAATTGTTATTCGGGGAATGTAAGGCCTGTTAAATGGCAAAAATTAAATGGTAAAAAAAATAAATAAATAACAAATAAAAAATAAAAAAGTAAAAACTGCCTGACGACCACAAACCCATTACAAATATTTTATTTTTGAATGAAAATTCTTTTGGATTGGTTATGATTTTTTTGTTATAAATTATTCAATAATGAACTGTTTTTTGCGTGTAATTTTTTAATTTTTAAACTAAATTAATAAATTAATGTTAATGTTTATTTGTTTCAGATATCAAACAACTCCGAGTCTGAAGGACACATCAAGGTATGCGTGTTATAAAAATATATTTTGTAGGCGAAAGTATTTCATATTTTTTTATTAAATTTGGTCACTGTATAATTTGACTTTTTAAAAAGTCACTTAAAATTTTAGTTACATCTAGAAACTAAGCATTGGCATTAATTAGATAATGAAAAAGTTTTTTTGACATTTTACGTCATGTTTACTTGTAAATCATTATGAATTATTAGTATGTAGAGGACGATTCCATATTATTTTTAAGCCATTTTTGCCTTAGGTCCAAGACGAAGACTTACACGTATAAATTTTTTTTTAATGGTCAAGTTTTATTTCTATCACTTCTCACATTAGCTGCCAGAAGCATTCGGTGAAGGAGTATGTGGGTTAGATTTTTTCCAAGAGCAACATTTAGACGGATTAGAAATGTATTTTTGAACTCTTGGTGATTCACAAGGGCGAGAAAAAAATTTGGACCTTATAAATTACACGGCTTACATCTGACGGTAGATTGTCACATAAGGTGTTAAATTTATTTTAATTTAAAAATTTCTTACAAAAAAATAAAAGACAACGTTAAAAGAACAACCGCCAATAAAAATAGATATATTTTATTATTAAATAAACACTCAGCATGTTTTGTGTCGAAAGAAATTTCATTTTAAACCCAAAATGGTACAAAATTTCAAGAAGCGATTTTTTAAAAATTCTTTAAATTTGAGCTGTTATATAACTTGAACTTCTGCTTCTTTATCCGGCTAGAAATTTATTAAGCCGGCGTTGCCGTAAATCTTCTATCGGCGATTGTTATCGTTTGAAGTTTCACCCCAAGCCTCCTTTTTTTCACCCCTTATTACACAGCCTTAGCGAACTTTACATATTAACTTACATCAATTTCTCCTTCAGTGACAGGTGATATCATTGTAATTACTTTACTGTCGTGTGAACTTAGAGGGCGACAGACTACTGTTAAAACTACCCAAATTTATGATAATTGTATATTCTAGTAATTTTTCTTTCTTTGTAAGGTCTTGGTCGATATGAAAAAGCAAGTGTCATGAGCGGGATTCGAACCCAAGGCTTTCGGCTAAATGCGCCGATGCTCTACCATTTGAGTTATCGTGACTTCGATCCTCTCGGACACCAACTCTTCTTCTTCCCTTTCTATAGCTTTTAGACCTTTCCACATCAAACATGTAGCCAGTCATCTTCGCAACAAAAAGAGACCTGCATTCGATTTAATTATATCTACAAACCTTTGCAATTTACCAGAAAAATCCCTAGTTTTCATTACTTATATTTTTAACTTCACATTCTGAACTACACATTTCACAGTCTTTTGGAAATGTTCCACTGACATAAATTCTCTATAAATCAACGTCTATCAATCTTCTTTCATCCTACCGCCTTATCATTATCCTTTCTTTAATGAGTAAAATTATCCTGTTGAAGTTCCTATTAAATCGGTTTTAGCCCCGCTGGTTAAAAAATTATACTACTTTCGGGAGTCCGAGTGGATATTTTACCTGAATTCATAGCCGGGCGGAGGATGTTTAATAGTTAAAATTCCTAATAACTCTGGCCAAATATAAAATGTAATATTAGACTATTAAAAACATGTTCTTAAACGCGTGATGATAACGAATCAAGGATGCAGGACGCTGCACTGGCGTTGTCTTATACGGGATACTGAAGCGGGGGAGCAAATAACTTAAAAATATTTATTTGGGAAAGAAATAATTGACTTTAATAGAGGACTGTATGATAGATAATTAAACAGATTCATACCGAAGTCGAAACAGGAAACGACGCGACAGGACGATAAAAGAAAAAAAAGTGGAGATTGATCAGAGAAGATAAATAGGTAGAGGAGTGTGGGATAACGTGGTTTGAGAAAAAACAACACTTTGCGACTTTGGTGAGTCGTGAGGAGAGGAGCTTGGGAGAGAGAGAGAGAGAGAGAGAGAGAGAACGTGACAGAGAGATGGGAAAGAGTAAGCTATAAAGACAAAGGGAGAATGAGACAGAGGGGGTTACATTGTTTTTGTGTCTTCCTCAATAAATTATCATTAGATTCCTGTTGTTAAGTCTAACTTACCAGGACAACAATATAAAGTCTAAAATTTTCTAACACAGAAAGGGGGGAGAATGAATGAATGAACGATTTATTTATTGATCACGCAAGATTTGGCCTCAAGGACCACTCTTACCTCTAAATTTAATTATATATATATATATATATATATATTGACTGTGACTTTGTTTGGTTTCTGTGTGGGCACTATCACCACGACAGACAAGAATGACACATCTACACAGGAAACAAAATGTGAAAATTAAACAAACCGAGCTGTTTGTTGTGCGGGAGAAAACGCAAAAATGGCAAACATTTTGAGCCCATGGGCATTCTCAACACGACAGACAAGAATGACACATCTACACAGGAAACAAATACTTTGAGCCCTGAAGATGATCTCAATAAAGATCGAAACGTTGGCTCGATAAAACGATAAAGAAAATGTTTTTCTAAAACCGAAGTCTCACGATCTCCAATATATATATATATATATANCAACAGGACTCTACTAATATATTGCTGAGGAAGACACAAAAATAATATCTCTCTACGTCTTTTGTCCCATTCTCATTTTATTTTTCTACCGCCCCCTTTTTCGGATACTCTCTACCATCTCCCTTCTTTCGTTTTTTCCTCTTTATGTCTCTCTCCCTCTTTCTCTCTCCCTCTCTCACTCTCTCTTCCTCTCGTTCTAAAATTTTTAAGACGAGACATTTTTTTATTTCTTTGGGGTATTAGTGTGTAAACTCTGGCATTTTTGCAGAAAAGAATTATTTGCAGTCGTAGTTTTATACTTTGTAATTTGCAAGTGTTTACTGTTATATGTAGTATTAATAGAGTGTACATCGGATGGAAACTGAAATTTTTCGTATAAATATTTAGGTTTTTAATTTTTACAACTTTGAAAATCATGCATGCTAACATATAACTTATTAAATCTTACATCTTTGCAAAGTTTAGTCAAGCTTTACATATAAAAAAATATGATGTGAGCTACAACTTTTCGATTTGAAAAGAAAGTATTTTATAATAATCAAATTCGGAAGAAGTCTATAATGATACTACTTGCACATTTATTTATGTGCGATGTGTGACATGAATAGTTTACAAATAACTAAATTGCAAAGTGGTTTTAATACGTGCTATATGATATAAAATTCAAATCGTAAATTTGACGATAGTTATGTAAGAAAAATTTTCAAGACTAAACTTTTCAAAGATGTAAGATTTAATAAGTCAGTTAGCATGCATGATTTTCAAAGTTGTAAAAATTAAAAACCTAAATATTTATACGAAAAATTTCAGTTTCCTTCCGATGTACACTCTATTAATACTACATATAACAGTAAACACTTGCAAATTACAAAGTATAAAACTACGACTGCAAATAATTCTTTTCTGCAAAAATGCCAGAGTTTACACACTAATACCCCAAAGAAATAAAAAAATGTCTCGTCTTAAAAATTTTAGAACGAGAGGAAGAGAGAGTGAGAGAGGGAGAGAGAAAGAGGGAGAGAGACATAAAGAGGAAAAAACGAAAGAAGGGAGATGGTAGAGAGTATCCGAAAAAGGGGGCGGTAGAAAAATAAAATGAGAATGGGACAAAAGACGTAGAGAGATATTATTTTTGTGTCTTCCTCAGCAATATATTAGTAGAGTCCTGTTGTTAAGTCTAGGTTATCTGAGCAATATACAGTCTCAAATTTTCTAGTCATGAAAGAAAGAAAGAGAGGAAGAGAGAAAAAGAGAGTGAGAGAAAAGGGATTAAAGAGGAGAGTAATATTGGTATTGTGTCTTCCTCAGTAAATCATCGTTAGATTCCTGCTACTAAGCCTTAACTTATCAAAACAACAATTTAAAGTATTGCCAATAAAATGTTTTAAATTTTTTTCTAATTGATCGTGTAAAAAAATAAACAAGCAATGGAACGATCTTTTTTTCTATTGCGAATCTATATGAATTATCCAGTTTGCTTTATTTGGACATGATATAATCCTTAGATTGCTGTGGAGGAACTAAGGAAAATAAAGATATAACAAAATCATTTCGTACTTTTTTTAACCGAACTTGTATAACATTAATATAATCAGAGTTTATTATGCTTTCTTGAACATCTTCAACATAAGATATGCTATAGTAATGGGTCTCAAGAGGTCCTTCGTACAACCCCATTAGACGTCCCTCTTTTGACTTACTCAGGATGTAAATTTACGACCCTTTTATCTCCACTGCCGAGTCGTCCTTGACAATCCGGCTTTATTGTGGGCCGAGGGTGGGGCGTTTGGAAACGTTTATTATAAATAATGAATATTTAGATAAACAGTGGTGGGTAAAAAAGGACAAAAAACCGTCTGCCAGAAAATAAAACAGGTCGCCACTCCCAATGGCTCGGTGGTCAGTTAAAAATCCGAAGAATATTACAACCAGTTCGAGATTATTCGGATAAAATCCGTTTAATGCTCTTTGCGATTAAAACATAAGCATTTATGAACTTGATTAATTTCTAGAAGATAATTTTTATTATAGTAAATAGCATACGCTATCAACTTTTTTAGCGCTAAACCACTTACGGTTTACGGTTTCATATCATTATTTTCATGTCGCAACATTTCATTTGTTCAATCTTGACAAAAATAAAAAATAAAATAAATAAACCAGATTATAAATTATATTTTATCTTAGCTTTTTATAATTTGTAGTAATTTAATAATTTTTACAACCAAGTGTTGCAGAAAGATTTTATTGTTCAAGCTTTTAAAATTTTTAGACCGTTGCAGGAGAAACCTTTATAGCTTTGCATCAGGAGAAATTAAATTCTAATGGAAACAGTTGTAAAATGTAGTAGTATCGATAATATCGTCGTTTTTATGACTTTAAGGATTTCATAACCGTTTTATATATTTATATACTAATTTTGTCCTATGAAAATCTTTGATGGTGGAGGAATTGT